ATGTCCAACTTAAACCTTCCCTCCGCCAGCTTGTGACCATTGTTCCTGGTCACTCCTTGCGGTGCTCGGGGGAACAGGGACTCCCCCAGCGCCTGCTGATCCCCCTAACCAGTTTATAACAGGCCACAAGATCCCCCCTCAGCCTTCTCTTTTGAAGGCTGAACAGGTTCAGGTCCCGCAACCTTTCCTCATGGTGTTTAGGAGCATTCAGGCTAGGGACAGAAATTCCACATAAACCAGTATGAGTACCCAGAAACTGGTTCAAACCTGTAACACAATAGGAGTTAAGTACATGTGAACTGCTTTCAAAATGGCCAGAACCGGTTTCAGGTAAATCTGGATGGAAGTAGCATCAGACTTAGGTGATTTAGGTTAAATCAGTCTATTGAACTTCTGTTCCAGATCCCCACGCATTGCAAAGATGTGGAACTGTACCAGCAGTGAGTGTTCCTGTCTGTGGTTAAGAAATTCCTTTGTTAACCCCCCAGTCTTTGCTGTCCTTCCAGGTTCCTGAGGGGTCTGGAGAGTGCTTTAGGGGGAGTGTTGAAGGAACCAGGGCCTTGGAATTGCTGAGGGAATTGTTCCAAGCTGGCTGAAACACAGGGGTCAACTGCCTGAGATGCATTTCTGATACATGGCCTGCATCAGAGAGATCCAGTGGTAGGGACAGTGATCGGCCAGGCCTCAAAGGTTTTAGAAGCATGTGGGAGTTGCCATTTGAATGGCATCTGCCCAGAGGAGGCTAGGCCTGGTGAAGACAGGTGACTCATAAAGAAGTTGCACCTTGTAGTGAAATGTGTATCCTCCTCTGGAAGGCCAACCTACAGAACTGAGAGTACCGTCAATGTGGGGTTTGATCCAGAACCCCGTCAAGTCTAAGGGTGTTTGGCCTTCAGATTAGGCCTAACACGATTATTACACCACTCTTTGAAAAAAAGCAGCTGTCAGACGAATAGCAAGTAGAGCAAACAGAAAGGCAAAAAGCCAGATTGGTATGAGATAATAAGCAGGGATAGGGGAGGGGGGACCCCAAGCAGTCATCCTGGGATTACCAATGACAAATGCGCAGCTTGCTTTGGCAAACCAGGAGAGGATGCTCTCAGATTCCTGAAAAGAGGTACAGCATACAGCTCAGACTTGTTCCTGTTGCTAAATATTTAGTCATGCCATAGGATATGGTGAATCAGGGTGTACCTTGAGAGAGCTCCTGCTCAAAGGGTCTTACTAATGAGGGAAGATCTGCTATGAATTATTCCCTGTTACTTTTTCAGGGTCACAGACTACAAATCTGCTCCCACGACTGTATCGTGGGGTTATGTCAGAGAACCTTGTATTTTGACCTGTATATGCCTTGGATCCTTAGGCTGGAGCCAATTAAGAATCAATTATGAAAAAGGTCATACCTATTCATCAGACTGTTCATTATGCATTTGGGGCACTGATTCACTGGCTCATACTGTACTGTATTCTCAGTGCAAACACTTGGCCGCCTTGGATTCTGAAATTAAATGGGAGATAAGGAATGATATCACTAACTAATTGAAAGATGGATTCTGTACTTAGATACATACATAGTGTGACTCGCGTTGACTTTTATTCATTTAAGTTATAACTATGTTGGTGCAGGGACCATCTCATTACAGCATGTTCAAGGACCTCCAGCATGTCCCCACAGTCAACGTACTACCATTCTGCTTAGATTCTCATATACGTGCCATGGCAGTATCTAACACTGGGACTTGAGAGCACACTTTGAGAGCACACCTGGCAGTAGTGATTGATTAATGTCTCTCAGATATGATAAAACAATGTTTCCATGGATCTATGGAAAATAAACCTCACCTTCACTCCAAGTTACCTTGTGCTTTGGATCATAAGTAATTGCACAAAATCATGATGAAAAACTCACACCAGCTTGTGTTGGGGAGGCTGTGCCTTTCGCCCACAGGTGTGTCAGCCAGGCAGAACATCATTGTGCTCGAGTAGTTTGAACAAAGCTCATTCAGGTCATAGTGACTGTCTTACATTTGTGGGGAAAGGTCATTAGCAAACTGGAGAGGAGCTAGGGGAAAACAGGGGGGAAAAAACAAACAAATGACCACACACACTCAAATGTTTTAAAGTAAAGGAGGGAATATACTGAGCTTAGCTCAAAGCATGTGAGCAGTCTGGGTAGAAAGGACTCCAGCTCTGTCTGATTCCAGAGGCTCCATCCCCAGCGTTGTCTTGGGCTACTGGCACATGAGCAAAATATTAAATCCATCACTGCATCATTGTATCTTAGAAATGTGGAGCTGGAAGGGACCTCAGAAGATTGCCTTGTCCAACCCCCTGCTCAAGGCAAGATCATCCTTTTCCAAACCATCACATTCAAGTGCTCATCTAATTTCGTCCTAAATGTACAGGAACAGTCCTGACATACTTGTACTCTCATTGGCTGATTTAGCCATAGGATTTTGACATACGAACGCAGGAGCCACAGACAAACTAATATTTCCGTTGATGCCTCTTTTTTTGGACTTTATCTATGAACAGGGTGGCTGGCCTTTGAAACTAACTTGTCTGGACTCAAACAACGAGTAGCCCATTATGAACAGCATACAATTACAGTATAGTCAGCCACAACTACTTAGAGATCATAAACCAGGTCTGCAAAATTACATTATGAAAAAAAAAAAAACACACCAGGCAGGTTTCCTTAATATTTCAGATGACATTGAGCTGCATGGGGTTGCAGATGCCCTGGGGTATAGGCTGAGGATTCAGGGTGTTCTTGACAAACTGGTCTGAAATTAATCAAATGAAATTCAATTAGGACAAGTGCAAAACTTTGCTCTTAAGAGAGAACACTTGCATGAACAGATGCATATAGGGGAATGACTAAGCAGGCTTCAGTATTGCAAAAAAAGATCTAAGGCTTAGAGTAGAGCATACATTGACAATGAGCCAACCATGTGCTTTTATTGTGAGACAAGCCAAAGGCATATTGGATAGGAATAACACAGAAGTGTTGCTTGGAAGTCAACGAAAGCAGTTCTTTCACTTTATGTAGCACTGGTAAAGCCTCACCAGGAGTACTGTGTCCACTGCAATTCAATAAAGATACAGAGAAATTCACGAAAGTCTGGAACAGAATAACAAACTTGGTGGTGGTGGTGGTGGTGGGCTACAGGAAAGATGGGGTTTCAGCTAACAGTTTTTTGAAATGCATTTGATTTCCTTAGAAAATTAATTAAAAATTGTATGCTTGACAACACAAACATTTCAGCTGAAACTACATTTTAGCCTTTGACACATTTTTAAATGTTTCCATGAAAAACAGCAGTACAAATTAATGCTTTACAGGTAGTGTAACTGTATGGTTCTGTAAATTTTCAATATCATGATTAGTGGTTATATACATGACTTTTGTGTGGCAAAAACCACAAGTGAATTCTTCACATCAAATGAACATCAATAAAATGTTTGTTATATCATGTAATCAGCTATTATGTATACATTGCAGCTCCCTGAAAACTTATTCTAGCAAGGTTTTAGAGGGTAACCCAGATGCACAGTCCTAAATGTTTCCCTTTCCATACCCACCCATATAAGAACTTTCCTCTTCCTGAAACTTCCCTTTCAGTCTTTATTAGGTTTTTGCAGAGAAAATTGTCTTTTTTGCAGATATTTGATGTAATTCCAGAAACTCTGCAAGAAGATCTCAGCCAAGGCATGCAGCAATCCAGATAAATTCCTGTTCTGTTGGGCATCTGACTCAGCAACAGAAACCAGAAAGGAAAGAGAAAAAGAAACCAACAATGCAAATATTAAAAAAAGATTCCTGGTCGCTAAAAGATCTGTCAAAAGAAGATATCAGAAATAGGGCTATGGTCCATTTCACTTCCGGCTTTCTGAACTGGGCTTTGGTGATGCCTATTGCTCTTTAAATCATAGGCCATCTGGGTATCTAAATATGAATCACTCCTAGACACCTCCAGTGTCTCCCCATTGACTGTGTAGGGATCTGAGACACCTATGCTTATCAAATATAATCTCCTTTGGGAGCAAGAAGCCCAGTACTAGAGGAACGCAACGTCTAGGCTTCATCCTGTCCTTGGTACATAACTTCCTGCAGTTCCCAAGATAAGTGTAATTCAACTAATGAAAACCACAGAAAGAAAAGAGGATCCCTGACCTGGAAGCCTGTGCTGCAGCTGCTTATGGGAAGTCTTCTTCGATGTTCTGGTTACTGTTCCATGTTCCTCTGTCAAAAGGAGCAAAAAAAACACCTGAGGTTTCACAAATACTTGCACAGAACTAGGCAGTGACATGGATGATGTGCAAGAGAGTCTTGTCTACAGTGGCAATGTAATACATGGTAACGGGTTTGTGTGTACCTATCTCCTTTCTCTCTCAGC